TGGTTGGTTGGTTGGTTGGTTGGTTGGTTGGATGGATGGATGGATGGATGGATGGATGGTTTGGTTGGATGGCTGGTTGGTTGGTTGGATGGCTTGTTTGGCTGGTTGGATGGTTGGTTGGTTGGATGGATGGTTTGGATGGCTTCGTTGGTTGGATGGTTGGTTGGTGGGTTCGTTGGGTGGTTGGTTGGTGGGTTCGTTGGGTGGATGGTTGATTTTTTGGTTGGATGGTTTGTTGATTGATTGGTTGGATCATGGTTGTTGTTGGAAATCCCCACTGAGCTGGCTCCCCTTTCAACGTCAACCAAGGGGTGCTTGGTTGGTTGGGTGGATGGATGGTTGGTTGGTTGGTTGGATGAATGTTTGCTTGGTTGGTTGGATGGATGGTTGTTTGGTTGGATGGATGGTTGGCTGATTGGTTGGTTGGATGGTTGGTTGGTGGGTTCGTTGGATGGATGGATGGTTGGATGGGTGGGTGGATGGAAGGATGAATGGTTCATTGGTTGGATGGTTGGATGGTTGGTTGGTTGGTTGGTTGGTTGGTTGGCTGGATGGCTGGATGGTTGGTTGGTTGGTTGGATGGATGGTTGGGTGGTTGATTGGTTGGATGCTTGGTTGGACGGATGGCTGGTTGGTTGGTTGGTCGGTCGGTCGGTCGGTTGATTTGTTGGTTGGATGGTTGGGTGGTTGGATGGATAGATGGATGGTTGGTTGGTTAGTTGGTTGGTTGCTTGCTTGCTTGGTTGGATGGTTATCGTCGGTTGGTTGGCCGGATGGATGGATGGTTGGTTGGATGATTGGGTGGGTGGTTGGGTGGTTGGTTGGCTGGTTGGTTGGATGGTTGGTTGGTTGGTCGGTCGGTTTGGTTGGATGGTTGGTTGGTTGGTTGGTTTGTTGGTTGGATGGTTGGTTGGTTGGTTGGTTGGTTGGTTGGTTGGTTGGTTTGCTGGATGGATGGTTGGTTGGTTGGGTGGATGGTTGGTTGGTTAGTTGGTCATTTTGTTGTTTGCTTTGCTTGTTTGCTTGCTTGTTTGTTAGTGTGCTCGGAGTGCTTTGCTGTTTGTGATATGTTGGATTTGTTGGCTGTTCGCGTATGTGCTGTGCTTGTCTAGAAGATGGCGACAGCTTCGCCTGGGCAAATGGTGGACCCCCGGTCTCAAGGCAAACCAGGAATTAAGTTGTTTATGGACCCCTTTGGAGAGACATTTCTTCCGACCTTCTTGGGGACCTTTCAATGAGAATTTGTTTCTTCAATGACAAGGTGCTTTGCTGAAGTACACGTACACCATCAGAGTTCTTGTTGTCTATTTTGTAAAACTAGGCGCCAGCAGCCCTTAAATTTTTTTTGTTTCTCTCGAAGTCAACTCGAACAAGGGTGTCCTACAATGGGCGCACCTAGATGTTTGGTTTCCTTGAGGTTTCACGTAAGAAAAACCCAAAGACATGTGGTTTCCTGGCTGAAAAGAAAGGCCATCCTTGTTCCGAAAGACATATCCTGGGTTTGGTGCAGCCGGCGGTAGCTTCCTGGATGAAAAACACGTGGCAGTCCTTGTAACGAAATGGGTCCCCTCTTTTTTTTGGGTGTAGGGCTCCAAAAATAGGACATCCTGGTTACAAAATGGATCCCCTTGGCTTTGTAGGGCTCCATTTTCGACCGCGCAGCCGGGTTTTCTGAACAAGATGCCTAAGGCCAGCCCCAGGACGGAGCTCCGGGCGCTCAGCAGACGCTCGACTTGAGCGAGCCAGCGAGCGAGCGAGCGGGCTCCGGGCGTGACGCTTCGGTTTGATGATTTCCCGGGCCAACAAATCCGACCCCCAAAAGGGGCGTTGCTGGTTGAAAATCTGATTTGGCCGTCAACACCAGTTTTGGGGTAGGTTCACCACCCATTTTAGTCTGTTTTAGTGGGGAGTTTCACATTGGCAACTCATCCAGAAACAGAAAGCGAGGGGCGTTTCTCCCCAAGGGAGGCGGAGCCTCTATGAAATGTGGTGAAGCAAGGACAAGAACATGTGCATTCCGATTCGCGCTTGCAAGTTGAGAATTCATCACCCCGCATGGCGATCCTGAGCCTTTGAGGGTGCACACCCCAGCTTACTGAAAAGCAGTGTCTGAGTGCTGAGCCAAGAATCTTTTGTTTAAGCGCCAGGGGAGTACGAGGTCCCCCCAAAAGCAACTGGCATTATCATGCCCTTCACTTCTTTTGTTTTTCTTGAGGGGGGGCCCTTGGAGTACATGTTAAGAGTGAGTCGTTGGCCTGGGCTGGGAATGCACATGGTCGCCATTGAATGGGCAAACGTGTTTCTGTTGGTCCCCAAACGGTTCGGGAAACTGACAGGTGCACAAGCTATGTTGCAAGCATGTTCTTTTGGACATTGATGTTCTGATTGAGATTCATAGTTGCCTCTCCCTCCCGAAACGTTCTGCCTTGTGCCGCGGATATTCAACAGACTTGGAACGGAAGATTGATTTTGTCATTTCTGAGGTATCTTTCCAGACGCTTCCGGGCAGGACATATATAGGAGTGGCTTGCTTCGGTTTTCGTTTACACTCAGGGAGAATACTCGGGTTATTCCCCCATTCTCATCCATTGTTCTCATACACCTTCAATTTTCCCGGGTTGGCCCATTTTCTGGAGCACCGGTGCTAGAAATCGGGGGGGGGGGAGGGAAGCCCAAATAAGCCCTTAATAAGGCCTGATCAAGGCCTCAATGAGAGCTTATTTGGGCCCTCCCCTCCTCCTTCCCCCCCCAACCCCATGCCCTCCCTCTCCCCCAACCCCATGAAATGCAGGTCAGGTCCATCGGGCCATGCGGCTGAGGCATGGTCTCCCAGAGCCGCCGCTTCAAGAAGTTGCAGCCCAAAGCTCCAGGCCCGGCCTACTACGCCCCCAAGGTGACCCCGGAAATGGGCGCCGCGTCCTTCCATCTCAACATGGGGGGGGCCTGGGTCTAGCGAAGCTGACCCGGTTTTTTTCAACCGGCGAGCGATCTTCCGGTTGCTGGTGGCTTAAGAATATGTTTCCTGGTTTGCCCTGTTGGTCTGTTGGTTGTAAAGGGGGTCTATCACTAAGGCAAATGAAAGCTATGAATTTTGATGAGGGGGTAAGGGACCGCCTGGTGGACATGAATCACCACGACGTCCTTCTCAACGGATCCCCAACATTACAATTGACACGTGAAGAAAAGCACTTGGCCACAAAGGATTCCGGCTTGTAACCTCAACCATGGCGAATGTTGCTTACGTCTGGGTTGGGTTGCTTTTTTTCAGTATTTCAGGGAGCCGTAGATTCGTTTGTTATGGCTTTGGGTCTTGGGTTGGGTTTCACTATGAGCTTCATGCGTAGCAACAAGGGTGGGAACTGGTGTTCCTTATGCTGCCGCGGGCAAAAGCCCGGCCAATGTTAAGGGCGGTTGGGGCGTCCAGGAGGCGCCCTAACCCCAAAACAGAGCGCCACACATCATGCTTCTGCGTCTAAGGGCCCCACAACATTGGCCTATGGCCTACGGGAAATCACCCACCCACCCGGGGCCAAGCAGAGGGGTGACACCCCAATCGCAGGACCTAGGCCACCCCAGCGGCGTTTGCCTGGGATCAGTTTCACAAGCCGAAGACCCACAGCCGGGTGCCGTTGCAACAAGCTGAGCCAACGCCTGGAAGCCCGACTCATGTTCACCTCGTGGCACTGAGGTGTGTTTCATTCGCTTGATTGTTCACAAAAGGTTATTTTTGTGTTGAGCAGGGGTCAACACCAACCCAGTCTTGTGTGATGAAAAATAGAACACGGAGAGAACCCGGTGGCAAGTGGAAGGGGTTGGACATGCCAAGCATAAGTTGAGGCACGGCGCTGTACATCCTTACGGGGCAAGCTCCTTTGCCGGTTTGGTTTGTGACCCAACTGATCCCGCTTGCAGGTCTTGAAACATGAACTGTTTTCCGCAGCCCGGTCTCTTCTTCCATTGAAAAAAAGAGTATATAGGGGTCACTGCAAGAGGGGGCAAATGAGGCAAGAAACACCCTTTTCTGTGCTGTCCAAGTTACATGTTGGTTCCCTCAGAATTGCTTTGCTCGCATTCTAAGGGAGTCAGAAGTCGCCAACTGAATCACTGGTTGGCCGGGTGGTTGGGGTACTCAATGCACGGCCCTCCAAATTCTTAGTCAGGGGGAGTCCACTAAAAAGTCCTCGCAGGAAGCCTCCTCGATTTGCTTTTTTCGGGACGAAATATCGCGCACAGCTGGGGAAACGTGACGCGTTATTGTTTGCCAAGATGGGCGTGGGTCTCGTCGCGTATCCCTGCGCTGTTTGAGATACACCATCGAGCGCAGGGACCCCGGTGTCCTTTCCGGCGCGCGCGCAGCGAGAATCGCTTGCGGCACGTGGAGGGCGACCGGAAAGAGAAAAGCGGAACGCGCCAAAGTCCGCCCATGGCTTTGACATCAACTTTGACCCGATTTTCCACTCCAAGGAAACCCTAAAGGGCCTCAGCCATGATTCCACCTGGTTCGTCTAGGCCGAAAAGGGACCAGCACTGAGCCGGCGAGCTCCCTCGGCAAACGTGGAGCTTGGCCACAGATGGCACAATTGCCCCATTCTGATTTGGCCGTCTCCTTGACGTACCCACGTGAGGGAATTATTGCCATCTACTTTCACCCTGGTGCATGCGCAGGCCTTGGCTTGGCTTGCTTGGGTGCTGCCCGGTTTTCTGAAACCATGCCGCTTGCCGCTTGCCCCACAGCCTGCTTAGCCGTATTCGTGATCGGCAAATAGGATGTCGCGGTAGGTTCCTGTGATGAGCACGAGTGATTTGGGAATATTCTAGGATTGTGCTCCCTTGTGCGTGGCAATGTGACATGTGGATGGGGCATCAGAAAATCCAACTCGCCCAAGTGCACATCCATTGATTCACAAATCTGGACAGTAAATCGGGTGGGGGGAGGGTTAGGCGTCGGCATACTGAGCTGGTTTACTTTGCAAGCGAGACAGCAATGCCCCAAATAACCCATGTTGCTGCGCATTGCTGCGCACAGGTCTATTCCCCACATTGCTCCCTCGGAACCCTCTCCCTTTGCCATCCCAGTGATCAACAAAATCTCTAAATCCCGGTTTCCACAATTCTTTTCCCCCAGTAAAAGGGTGTGTGTGTTTCTTGATGCTATGCCCTTGTTGTTTTTTGTTTCCGAAGGGAAACGAAAAGCACGCCGATGCCTTTTTTTTTTTTCCGGGGGGGGTGGTCCACCGAAACAAAGCAACAAAATAATATATATATATATTAAAAAAAAAAAAAAAAAAAAAAAAAAACACATGAATTTCAGCCCAAGGGTCCCAAGTCCCAGCCCGGCCATGCGCCTCGCGCGCCTCGCGCGCCTCGCGCACCTCGCGCTGGCGCTGGCGCCGGCCGCGGCGTGGCCAAGCGACCCCCCCAGCTTCCCGCAGTTCCCAGGGCGACAGGCGCCGTGCCCGGGCCGGGCTGGGGGTTTCGTGGATGGAGCTGGGTCTCCCAAGCCTCACTTCCTGAGTTGCTGGAGTTGAGTACAGCTTTTTGGCAAGACCATTTTGATGGTAAATGAAATGTTTGAACTTGCTTGGCCAATCCACTCAGGAAGTGAGAAGCCGCCTGCTCAAATCGCCAGCGAACTTTCTGGAGGTAGGCTCGCGTAACTGCGACTTGGGTTTGCGGGACATGCCGCCATCCCTCCCGCTTTGGCGGGTCTTGCCCGCAAGGGTCGTTTGGTGCTGGTGCAGTCTTTCGTTCGACGCGATTTTGTTAGAGTAACTTTGAAGAGCCGAACCTTGTTGCACCGAGGTCACTGAATGTCACTCCATGTCCTGTTGATTGTTGCTTGCAAACCTGGCAGAAGTTTCTGGATGACATGACGTGACAGCTGCACAAGTTGGCGGAGCCATGCGTTCTGGGCACCTTTTCGAATTTCACAGTTGTGTGACATGGTCTTTTTGGACTCCAGGTTTAGTTTGAAGCTGAGTCGACATTTTGGAACCTTTTTGGGTTTTCTGGCCTTGGTCCAACATGTTGATGCTGCGTTTGCCAGAGCATGTTTGCAGAGGAAAGGTTTCAGAAAGGGGCGTCGTGGGGCCTGCGTGAACCCAAGTTCTGCGTTCTTCAAGATCAATAACTTTGAGCTTTCCGCCAAACAAAATCAAGACACATTTACAGACCCTAGGTGGACCCCTCTATTTTTTGGTCTCCCCCCAAGCATAAAGGCCAGACCCCATAGCTCCGGATCCTGAGCTGTGCCCACACGGGGTCTGTCAAAGTTGTGTGGACAACTCGAGGTGTTCTGCATTGTGGGGAAACGTGTGGAAACCTCGAGTTTTCGAAACACACGCCACAAAGAAGGAATTGATCAGGTAGAATGCCTATCTTTACTCCGAGTTGTTTTTGCATGAACGCCTTTCCAAATGAGATGTTGACGAATGTTGACGAAAACGTTATGAATGTTCGAATATGTTTAAATCCGGAAATGCTTGAATGAGCTTGTGTTTATTTCAGTTAGAAATGATGCAGGCCAATTGGAAGAAGCACGAATCATTATTTATTGAACTCAACCTTTCAATATCCAGTCAAACTTCATTCGAAACCATCTTTGGCAGGGCAATTATATTCAAATATTTAGCTCAAGATTAAACAACTACTTGAATTGTGTCCGTTTAAATATACATGTAGGTCCTGATCGAATGTTCAAACTCCTTTGGAAAGGAATTCTGATTGAAGATGGGACTTCAATTGAATAGTTCCCTTTTCATTGAAACCCATTTCAATCCCAGCTGGATCTTAATTACGCACATTGGAAAGGTCTCCCAGGGTCCCTTCTCTTCCCATCACCAGCTATTGACTTTCATCTCGTTCCGCATTCCATCTAATTCCCAAATAGTAAAAATCCAGGGAAGGAATGGAGTGGAATGGAAAGGAATGAGTGAGAGGAAACAGATGCAATGAGATGCTTTCATTAGAAATCTCACGGCATCTCCATCCTTCGGAAACCGCTAGACCGTGATGAAGGGACGACCGCTAAGACAGATAACATTCCAGAAACAAAGGTATGTGACCATCAGAAGTCTAATGTCAGACACATCATGCCATTTTATTTCACTGGCTTCAAAAATCCCAGCATCCCTCCGACCCACTCTAGGCTTTTCCCATCCAACCCGTGAAGGCCAGCCGAAGGTCGCACGTACCCCCCCCCCGCCCCCGCCCCAGTGAACCACTTGTCCACTTCGGGTAGCTTCCTATCAACCCACATAAGAAGAAGTTCCTTAGATAACCCCCTACGTAGTCCCGGTACCTTTCTGGTAACCTCAAGTACTCCCTCGTAACTCCAGGTGAACGCTTGGCACCCTCCTGCTCATCCCCATCAACCCCAGTAACCTTTACTTTTTCAGGCCATGGCTTGTAACCTGTTTGGGTGTTCCGCTGTTTCTATTCCCAGGCGTTGGGTACTTGACAAATCTCGAGAATCTCTGGGCTTAGGTAGCTCGAGTGATCAAGTAGGTAAGCCCCTACTAGCCCCCATGAACCCCTAGAAATCCCTGGCTACTTCTAACAACCCCCCCGGTAAGCATTGAGGTGACTCCAACCCCCGCCAAACCCTCATAACCCTTTGACTCTCAATAACCTCACATCACCCCCAACCCCAAAGTGACCCTCAATACCCCCCAAACGTAGTTTGAGAACACCTCACAACATTCTCTCTTCCAGCTTGAAAGTCGTGCTGGCAGTCCCTTTACGGCAAGTTGGCGGCTAAACTTAACCAGCTTATTTCAGGAATTGGGTTAAGTTTTTTTTAGTTTTTTTTTTTTTTTTTTTTTTGGTGCGTAGGCACTACACTTTTCGCGCCATCCAACCATCCAACCATCCAACTCCATCCCTCCGATCGGGATCGATCGGGGCGCAGGTCTCCGTGCTGAACGGCACCTGGGACTTCGCCTTTTTGGGGGACGTAGCACTGGAGGAGATCTCCCAAGATGCGGAGTGGCAGAAGGCGCTCGGAAACCTCCGGAGCAAAGCGACAGGGAGGGAGACCTCCAATACCCAGTGTTTTTTTGGCTTCCATATCTTTTTCTGGGAGGGGCCCTTTGTCCCACCACTGGGTTCTTGGGTTTTGCTGGTACGAAGTCTGCCATTTCTGGCCAAGCTGCTCAGAAAGTGAGGGGCAGACGCCCCGTTTTCCCACACTAAATGAGGACGAGAGCAGAAGTCGGCACACTTGGAAACGGCTGCAAAGAGACTACCAACCATGGAGGTTCCTTCTACAGTTGCCCTCCTGCCAACAAACATGACGCAGCCCTTTGAACATGAATCGAGCTCCCAAGGTCTGGGCATTGTCATGTTTGCTGGTGGGAGGGTACGTGTGCGTGTTTAAACATATAGCTGATGCATTGACATGCGGTCATCCAGCAATTTGTTGTGACTATGGTTGACACAAATGATGCTTGTGTAATTTGCGTTTTTGCTTCAATTTGAACATGCTTGAATGATGCACAACTTGTCCCATTATTTGTTATTGCTAGCGTTTGCTTTTTGGAGGGTCCTCGAAATTAGCTGGGTATAGACAGCATGAGCCCTTGAAGGGGCCCTTTGTGTTGTTGGCCGCCGCTGGCACAGCTTGCCAGCGCCGGAGCACTGAACTCTATACGCGACTATGCTCCTCATAACGAGCCAAGGCAGTTCAGACTTTCTTATACCCTCGTCAGCTGGGCGGGTCAGCACGCGTCCAATGTCCAAAATGATAGGGGGCACCAAGCTCACCAAATTCGGCATGTGTGCCGTCCTGAGTGCGTCCAGACTCGACCTTCAACATTGAGTTGATGTTGTTTTGCACCATGTCTTCCAAAAGATTCCTGAACGCGTTGGTTGGCCCAATGCTGATGGAGAGTGTCCAATAGCTGGAAGGAAGGCAAATGCTCGTCGCTGCCACCAGGGTCCCACAAACTTGAAGCAAAGCCAGCAATGTTGGAGTTCTGAGTCAGAGACTTCGCCTTTCTTTGGGTTTTGCATGGCGCGTGGGTAGCTTATGGCACGCGCCATGGTAGCCAGGCTCGTGTTGCCTTTAGGTCTTTTAGGTTCCAACGTGTGCGTGTAGGGGCCACCAGCTCTGACAAAATCCATTAGGGTTTTCCTATTGTAAGTCCAGGTCCTAGGGAATCGTTGTCTTCCAGCTGACCATTTGGCTTCTTTGTGCAAACATAGCTTGGTGTGGCGGGTGCCTTTCCGAAAGGGATGTTCCGAAAGGGAGCTGCATACCAAGCGATGGTTTATATAGTGTTTCAGCATATGCGTTCAGTGGTAGTTGCCTTGTTTTCATCCGGTGGTTTCCCCGGGGAGGTTGTAGAAGGGCCGCTTTTGGCCACCTGCCAGGGTGTGTGTCATTTGTTGTGGGTACCTTTTTCTGGTTGTGTTGATGCGGGTGCCAAGAGGAAACCACTCCAAACATGGAGGAGTCTTTGGATCCAGTGATGCTCTCTGGTTTCCCTAGATTCCCTCTTACCATAGTGTTGCTTGCGCCTTGGCGACGTCCTGCCCGACGTCCCCCCTTTTTGGGTTGTCCCCGATTTATTTTGGCACGGACCCAAACACGGCATGTTAGGTGTCCGTGCCGGACGCTTTCGACCTGCGAGGGTTCACGTGCCGATGCGATCCTTGGCCCATCCTGTCTGTTTGTTGGTTTGTTTTGAAAATTGACTCTTTTTTTTGTTGGGGGGGGAGGTACATCTGGTACTCTTTTCTTGTGCTTGTTTTGAAAGGGAAGCCAAAAGGAACCCCGAAGTCGAATTGTTGGGGGTCCCCTAAAAATTTGACTTCACGGTGGTTGGCAGGTGTTTGTGTTTTTGGTGCTGTCCTTTGGGGGGCTGCTAATTGAAAAAAGGATTGCTGCTACTGTACCAAGGATTGGACAGATAAATAACCAGGTCCTGGCGCGGCTTGAATCAAAGGAGGCTGTATAAGGTAGCACGCTGTTTAAACATGATGTTGAACGGGAAGCTTAAAACAAACATAGAGTTGACCCAAGCTTGAAAATTACCCTGCAGGCACACTGTTTTCCAGCACCCGCTGTATTTGCTTTCCACCGACAAACCTCCCCCCCCCCCACCACCCAAGCAGAACTCACTGAAAGCATCCGGCCCTCACGTCCCACACGCTCCCCCGACCCTTCCTTTGGCCATCCTGGTTGATTGCATGGCTCAGCGACCAGCTGTAACACTTCTTTTGGACTATTTCCTGGTTTGACTATGCGTGTGCCCTAAACACATGGCCAACCTTCTCCCACAACCTAGGATTTAAACATATTTTCTATCTTTAGTCAAGGGCAAAGAACTGAGGAGAAATAGGAAAGGAAAGCAGTCCTGCATGTCCCAGCTTGCTTCACACTCCCGGTTGTTCAAACCGGCTGGGGGGGGGTGGGGTTCTGTATAAACAGGCGAGCGCGGACGAGACCGGACTACTTCGCAAGCAAAGGCGCGGCGTTTTACTACAACAAGCGGAGACTATCTGGCATAAGGAAGCAGCAATCATGCGTTGCAATCGCGGCATCTCCCCGACGAAATGTGCCTTGCACATTCACTGACAAATGGTGATGCCCCCCCTCAATAGTGCCAACAGTGATTTGGATCCTCTGTAGTCAGGGTGTCTGCCCATTTCCCATTTTGGAACCTCCAAAAGTGGCAGTTTCAATGCAAACCACCCGCGAATTGCAACTCTTACAGGGGGAAATCCAGTAGGCCAACGGGAGGGGAGGGGGTCATGGCCTTGTGGCAGTGCCCAAGGAGCCCTGCAGCTGTTGCGACCGGTCTATGGGCCACCGTGGGCGCGCAGAGTGCTGGGGCGACCGCCGCCGGAGCCCCAGCCAGGCGAGCGCTTGGAGTCCATAGCGATTCAGACTGTGGATGGACGAAATCCACCCACAAAACCCTGGAATGATTTGACTCCCCTATGAATATCAACAAACAGCAGTTTCACGTTATTTTTTTTGGTGGTGCAGGATTTCGTCCATCCGCAGTATTAAATATTGCCAGCTTCACCCCCTTTTGGGTTGGTGTGACAGGGAAATCAGAAGGAAACACCACGATTTTGCAGGGCCCCCCTACTTGAAGACACAAAACATCTGGCCATGGCCACATTATTTTCCTGTGCTCATCTTGGTGCCGTTTTTGGTGCATGTCAAAGTCAGCTACGACCTAAGGAGAGATGGTGGGGGGTGTCTGGGTCTACGAGGAGCACCCGGAGGCGCAATTCGAGGCGTGCTGCCAGCCGGAGCCCCTCTACTTGAAGCTCGGCGTGGTGAACTTCTCAGTGGACGAATCCGTTCTAATCAGTCACCAACCAGGCCCCAGTAGTGCCCGTTTACCCTTTTTTTTTGGTGGGGGGGTCCCCTACCAAAATAGACTACAGAAAAAAAAGTAGCCTTATTCCAGCCTCTCTACTGGAGGACCTAGTCATATTGCTGAGACGAATCCGTTCTAATCGGTCACCAAGAAAGTCCATCTTTCGGCTCGCGATGTTTGATCCATTGTGGGGCGTGGACCCCCTTACAAAGTACCATCCCACACCACCAAAAATCCCAGCCCCCCGCTCTTTTCGCAAGTTCCACATTCTTCCCAGTAGGGGGGAGCCCTTAGCTCGTTTGTTCCAAGCTTCTTGAGAGGCGTCCCTTCTGAATCATGCAAAGAAAGGTCGCAGGAAAAACTTTCACCGGACTCTCAGAAGTAACCCCATCCCATCCTCAAATGACCGAGCTGAAATATATCTCGGAGAAACCTAGTCTCCTTACATTTGCATCGCGAACCACTTCGTGGCTCAGTTGCGGTGCGCAGAAAGTGTAATCATAGTGTGTAAATATACCGTGGGGGGGTAGCTCGCCTTATAGCTTCTAGCGTCCAATTGTTCATGTCGTTTGTTTGATTACCACTCCAAATATCTCCAAATCATGCAAACTGCTCGTCCCCCGGTTGCAGGCAAGTGGGGGGGGGCCCAAAATTTGTCTGAGGATTCTCTAGCTTGTGCCCCCTTGGCTGAAAATCCTTGAGCACTTTTTGCACAAAGAAACGGCCCAGCCACATGGTGAACGCATCCCAGAGCTTGCTTGTTGACACCTCACCCAATTGAACCCCTTGTTGGCACGACCCTGCCATCTCTGAAGTTTCAGAATGTTCCAGGCACGGCAGATTTAGACACGTCACATTGCTTCCTGTTGCTGGGCTTGGCTAGTTTTTCTTTCCCAGTGGATCATGCTGCTCCTATAGCAGGTAACCAGACAAAACCACCATGCAAAAGGTTGTAACAGCCATAAATTTCCTGGTCAAATACTGTAATGACAACTGGCTCCACTGAGTTTACCCTTGGCATTGATAAAAGTACTCTGAAAGATTCCCTTGGTTTGCTGTTGTTTTGGGAGGGGAGCAGTCCATTTGATTGTTTTGTTTGTTTCAACTAACTCCAAGAAAGGGTACCGTTTCTTTCCACAAAACGTACCCTCCCCCAACTAACATGGAAGTGCAAAAAGGCCAACTAACCAAGAGGAGCCTGTCGTCTTTCTACAGGGGTCTGTGCACTAACCCATGTTAGCTGGTGGCAGGGTAACAAGAAATGACATCCTGCTTCTCCGAGGAAGAGGGGCGTGGCAATGTATCGCACGCAGCTGGATACTTTGGGCACCGCCGCGCTGTTGCTGTTCGGAGGCTGCACGCTGCGATGTGCGCCTCGGCTATTGGGCCCAAACTCTTTCGATGCACACAAAAGAAGATAGGCAGATCCATTCATGGAAGGGATTATGCAGCCGAAGTGGGGGAATTGTGCCAAGTTTTACGTATCTCTTCCCCTTTTTCCCCTTTTTCCCCACATTGGTCAGCCCAGGGTGCTGCTTTTCTACCAGAGTCACTGAACTGGGCTGTCCAAAGCTGAGCTGTTGGTTTTCCCTCACATTTCGAGAGTCCCATTTTAGGCCCCAAAAGTGGCTCCACCCGTGTGTTTTTGCTATTGGATCTCTTAGTTTGATGGTCGGTGAATTAAACTGGCATAGTAACTCATAGCAAAGACGTTCTAGCTTCCAGCTTGTTCGGGACTGCCTGGGAAACATAAAATGTGTGCCGGGCGGGGAGGGGAGGACGAGTTTCTATGTGCTTCTTGGATAGAGGGCGATGTTTGCCTAGCGATTCTACAGCCGCTGCAATCGACAGGTGGCTTGACCTCTCTGGTTCAATCCTGAACCAGCAAGATCTCGATCCAATCTTCGACTTGTTGGTTGAACAAGGGAATGTCCAACCACCAGCGAGCAAATCAACAAACTGTCAATTTCTCAAGCTGGGCTTTGACTTGTTGGTTAAACATTGGTATATCCGACCACCAGCCAGCAAATTGTCAAGCCATGTTGGGTGCTCGCTTAACGGCAAGAGTGAGTTCAACCACCGACCTGCTAATGATCAAGCAAATCTATGACTATTGGTTCAACATGAAGTATGATCTGATTAAGTATGGTCCACCCGTTACCCTGCTGCCGCCCATCCCATCCCCCCCCCCCTCCGGAAAATGACTTTGTGCAGCCGTGTTCAATCCTTGGTCGGCAGTGAGCAGGATGGATGTTCACTTCAGCAGCTTCCAAGAAATATGTTCTGCTGCTGCTGCTAAGCCTACCTGGCTTACTTGAGATTCAAAGTGAGGCCTATACTTGGGCCGCCCCCCCTCCCCCCCCGGGCCACTCAGTTTTGCAAGTAGCATCATAGTGGCAGCTGATCTACAATCCCATCATCCATTGTGATCAGGGGTGCAATCCTAACCATCTTGGTCATGCAAAACTGCTCTCCAGTCTTGGTCCAAGATGTTTCCCCCTTCCCCATGGATGGTGTGAGGTGCAAAGAATCCAAGGTGGTGATGGTGGACGGCGTCGTGCTGGAAGACCACGCCGGGCTGTCGCCCTTCCAGGTGGAAGTCCCAGCCGGAGGCGGCGAAAGCGGCGCGCGGCTTGGAGTTGCCGCCGGGGGTGCGATGCGGAAGCCGAGGCCAAGTGGGGGATTTGTTGTGTGACGGTACCCCTTTTTCAAGGGAAACCAGCAGGACACCGTTACTATGGGGGTTCCTACTTCCCATTTTGAGGCACACTGTGGATGGACAAGCACCAGCTATTGATGATATCCTATGAAACTGGACAAACCACCCACGTGACGAAATGGCTTTGCCCCAGCTGTACATCAATGGCGAAGCGGCCAAGCCAGCGACTTTGGGAGTTATTTAGAGCATTCCCAAGAATAGGCCAGCCTTTTTTCTTTTCCAAATTTGTTCAGTGGTTGTAGCTGCTCAGCTGGGAGTTTCCGATGGGGCGTTTCTTTTGTTGGGTTGTGATGGTTGTGGCTAAGCTGGTCCATTTGTTGTGTCTTGGCTCTGTGTGCAATGCTTTTTCAGATGCGACTTGAAACTTGATTTGTCCAAGCCAATTGCAAGCCATGATTTGGAGCCTTCCAAGCCCCAACCCATGGTTTGTTCACCACTTTGCCGACCGCGCCTGACTCTATGGGCAAAGCTAGGGAATGCTTCCGCCCGTCTTCATGAACAGAGACGCGCACACCAGCATGCAACACTAAGCAAGTGGCAGCAGACCAAGAAGCGGAAACATGGTGGAAAAAGGGCACAAGCCAGAAGGTTACAAAGCTTAGGCCAGCTGCTATTTGCATATGTATTAGCTTTGCGTCCCGCCAAGGCGGACGCTGCTGGTCATAGTGGACAACCGCTTTGGGGAAACGCACCCAGCGCCTCGTCCAGGGGTCAATCAACTTTGCGTCGGTCGATCACTGAAGCACCTGGAGCGAGCGGGCTTGAAGGATGAATCTTGAAGGGGTCCTTGTCAGGTGCCGTGTTAGTGGCAATCCGCGCCGGCGGCCAACCGTCGTCAGTTCAGTGGGATAAAAACCAACCTTCCCGCTTTATCCTTTAAGAAAGACCACTTCAACCGGCAATTTTGGTCCTATGGAAGGCCACGAGGGAGGCCTTGTCTCCGAC